ACCACGCCCTCTAGCCCTCTCCTGGAGAGGGGAATCCACTGCTCCAGTCCTTGCTAGCTTCTTCAAGAGAGGGGGCAACTCACCCTCACTGCCGCAGTCTGTGGCTCTCTCCCCCAGGAGGTTTTCACGCACTGGGCCTTGCTCAGAAGTCACTGTTATGAAACTGAGTTTTCTCCTTTTCCCTGGGGCCTCCACAGACCTTCATTCATATCTCATATGATGCTTTAGATTTTATTGGAATTAATTTTGTTACAGGTTTATATTTTATAAGCGTGTCAAGTCACAGAAGACAGGCTTATGCTTTGTCCCATTTTACAACTGCAAAATTTAAAAAATGAAAACCAGTACTGGCTGGGCTAAGTTAAGCCAAGGCCACATGAGAGGCTGTGTGGATGCTTCCCACTCCACAGTCTCCCCTCTGTCACTTGGCTCAGTCAGTCCCCTGGCTTTAGAATTTCTCACCCACCCCACTGCATTTTCCTGGCCAGCTTCTGCGCATTCTTTAATATTGATTCAGCCATTAGTCATCAAAATTAGGAAGCTTTCCCTAATCCAGCTTGTTTAAGACCCTCTTCCTGGAATTTCCAGAGAATCCTATGAGCATAATCCTATTGCTACTTGTTGTCTTAGATAATCTATACGTGACCATCTCTTTCATGAAATAGTGAACCTCTATGTAACAATTTCCAACACACAGTTGAGCCAGAAGAAAATGTGTGTCAGTTGAATGAATGCAAGAATATGAGTAAATAATTTCTATCATCACTTGACTCTTATTGTTATAATTCTAGGAAAACCTGCCCATTGGGAGCACCGCTGACTAGGGACAAGTTTGTAAAGATTTCATCTGAACACTTCTTATGATGGTCAGGACAGAGTTTCAACTTAATTAACTTTGGTATCTGCTAGGGAGATCGTGCAACACACTTCTGGATGTGTCTGGGAGAGTCGGAGAGAGGTGACTATGATTAGGTGCTATCCAGTTCCGGGCCTTTCCTCTCTGACACTGCTTCCCTGATCTGCTTCCCGGCTGCCATGAACTAAGGAGCCTTTTTCCACGATGCCTTCTGCCTTGATGCTCCAGCCTTGGGGCCAGCAGATCATGGACTGAATCTTCTGAAACCATGAGGCAAATTAACCTCTCCTCTTTGAAGTTGTGGGTGTCAGGTCTTGTGTGTTAGTGATGGGAATGCTGACTAACACACCTCTGATTAGAAATTATGAAGAAAGTTGAAGACGGGTGTTATGGAACTCTTACCCTGGCCTTTCAGGGCTTACCATCACAGTGGTGGGCCTGAACTGAGAATGAGGTGGCTGGAATGAACTCTGTCACATGCTGACTACACTCCATTGTGGTTCAGTTGTAATTTATAGATCACTTTCGTCGTCATGGACCATTACCATAGCTGAGTGCTGTGGCCTTATTACGGTACCTGTGCTCATCCATCATGCACAAATGGACAGCCAGACACTATGTGCCCATTGAGAAAGCCATTCCCAAGCTGTGCACGTTACTGCTCATCTCTGATTGCTCCCAGATTATGTCTCTGCACTGACATTATAATTTGTGCTCCCCATTTAGGGAAATAACGACAACACATCTTGTTACAGGATTTGCATAATTCTTTAAACCTTCTCAGGTGTTTCCACACCTTTCTTACTTTCCTCTAGGGCTAAGACAGTTTTGTCCTCTTTTTCCTTTACTTTATTACAATGGTTACTCTCCTGTCAAAATCTGGCTATGCTTTGTGAGTTTTTTCCTTTTCAAAAAATCTACAAGAGCGAAAATGCTATTTACATAAAGAGCAAAATAAAATATAGACAATAGGAAAGAGGGAGATAGATCTTTGTCAAAGAGGAAGGCGATCAAGGGATGAAGAGGGGAGGGAAAGAGGAGGAAAAACCGAATGAAGATACCCTACACACACGGACCGGCTCGACTCAAGGACGCTAAACGGTACGTGTCACAAACACGTATCAGGAAATGATATTTACAGACTAATAACATACATAGATGTTATACTCATTTAAAGTACCAGTTCTCTATTCATAGAGGAAAAATCATTAATTAAGAAATAAAGGCCTCAAAGTTGTTTTCTCTATGTAGCATTGAGAGATGCTTTGAAATTTGCATTCTGCAAGTCAATGTTTTTTACTTAGTAGCTTTTCCATTTATCTAGCCACACTCAGGGATACACATCTGTTGTCCTAGCTACTCAGGAGTCTGAGATAGGAGGATTGTTTGAGCCCAGGAGTTCAACACCAGACTGGACAACATAGCAAGACCATACCTCAACCAAAATAAAATGGAAAAACATGTTCTGTCATCAGTAGGAATGTAGGATTCCAAGTCTGTCCACTTACATACTTTCCATACTTCCTAATACCCCTGAACACGTGCCTGGCCGTTGTGTCAGTGGAAGGGGTCAGAGGCGGCCTGGGAAGGGCTCAGGTAAGGGAAGCTGTGTTCTGTGTGGCAGGGAGCTGTGGCACTTGGGAAGGGACTGGACCAAGTGTGTGGCCTCTGTCCCACGGCACCCGCTTCCCTGCGCGTCTGCTGGGCACTTCTCCAGCTACAACCAGGGTTTCCTCCCCACTCCTTCTTGCTGGACACATGAGTTTTGAATTTCATGCCCTCAGTCCAGCATCAAGAGTTTGAATCACCTCTACTCCCAACTCGGTGTCACTGCCACCACCATTTAATCCCCAAGAGTGGACCCTGAGCCTCCCAGCCAACTGGAGCCGGGCTCGCAGGGGAGGTCCTGGTCCACTGATGCTTGCTTCTCTTTGGGCAAAATGCGCAGTGTTGCTGATCAGCTGTGGCGTCGCAGGGCTTGTCTGTCACAAGTGTGCTGAGGGCAGAGGAGGCAGAGTGTACTGCACTGGGGTGGCTGAGGTGGGAATTCATCGGAGTGGTGTCGGCTTGGACCCCTGAAATTCTTCTGCATGGAAAATAGACACATGCGATTAGTCACCACTTTCATGACCTTCAGAGCTGAACATCCCTGCACTAAGGGGTGTGAAGAGACGGTCCAGATACAAAGGAGCAGGGAGCCTTGTGCTGCCCTCCCATCACTCCCAATAACTGCGGGCACGTGACATACAGCTGTGGCGAACCAGCGGAAGCCAACAGGAGGTGCAATGCCCACAGGAGCTGTTTATGGGACGAGTCGGGTCACAGCTGCTCTCAGAGCCTGGACAGGGACCCTCACTGGCAGGGCTCCCTGTGTGGCATGTCGGCTTCCTTTCTCTCTGGCCAGCTCACCCTCATAGAAATGTGCTCTGGGTTCTCTCATCCTCATCAATTTGAGATTGAAAAAGGCTTTGAAAACTGTGAGGAAGGACTCTGATTGACTCATCTTAATTGCATCCCAAAACAGCATTTTCCCAAAACACAGAACCAGTAGGACACATATGTTTATAGGGAGAGATTTCTCTTAAAGAATTGGCTCATGAAGCACGGAGACTGGCAAGTGTGAAGTGTCCTGGGCCGGGCAGCATGCTAGAAATTCAGGCAGGCATTAACACCGCAGTTGGAGGCAGGATTTTATCTCCAGAAAACTTAGTCCTCAACAAATTGGATGAATCCCACCCACAGGAATGAAAGTGACCTTCTTTACTTATCACTGACTTCAGCTACACACAGCACCCTTAAATTATGCTTGACAAAGTAACTGGATACCGTAGCCCGCTCAAGTTGGTACACAAAACCAATCCTTGAACATGGCCACCCCATGTTGCAATTACTGAGACCATGAGTACTGGGCACTATGTTTGGGATGGGAACTCATTTGCCACCCGTGGCCATTGGTAGGGACTCTAGTAACAGAAAGGAGACATCTATGGACAAGGACCCTGTAAACCTAGAAGCCACCCCATGAGTCACCTCCCATGTTGACGCCCTAAAGCCCAGTCCCCGAGTTCACATGTGAATGGCAGTGATAGTAGGGCCTTGAGAGGCAGATGGAGTTCTTCAGAGGCCTTGGGATTGAATGAGGTCTTGAGGGTGGGACCTTGGTTGGACATTGGTGGCTTTATAGGAAGAGGAGGAGAGACCCGAGACTATGAAGTCATGCAGCAGTCTCTGCGTTGTGAGATACAGCAGGAAGGCCCACCAGATGTGCTGTGCTAGGAGCTGAGTGAACCCCTGTTCTTTCTAAATCACCCAGTCTTGGGTATTTTGTTACAGCAACAGAAAATGAGTAAGACACGGGGACACACAATACGGCCTGGAACACCTTCTTTGTCATTCCCTGGACTCAGCCTTGACCTGGCTGCATGGTGGGACACAGGGAAATAAGGACAGGCAAATACCTGCTTTATTCAACTTAGAGGTACTGTAATTCCAACACATTTTTCTTTTTGTTTGGTCTTTTTGACAACACTTTGCTTCTTCTAGGCCTCAAGAATTAATAAAGTGTGGAAGATAAACAGTGCAAATAAACATATAGCATAAGCTACTTGTCAGTAAACAACAGGTAGGTTAACAGCCACAGCTGAAAGTGTGTGCGGTCCATGCCGCCCTCTCCTCTCTGCTCGGGAGCACCGAGGCTGCTCTGGAGCAGCACACGGCCATGGCAGCCATGCAGACAACACACAGCTTGTGTCGAGTTTGCTTTGGGGAAGCTGAGAGCAGGGAGGCAAAAGACCGAGCCAACACACAAATGCGCAGGCCATGCCAGTGGTGACGCGTTTCCTGGGCCGCACATGGTGTGAGGGCCGTAGTTGGCGGGAGCTGAGCTGCGCGCACAGCACCCTGGGGTGAGCGTCAGGGACAGGCAGGAAAGGGCTCCCCGTGGGCACGCAAGCGGAATCCACTGCTGCCCTGGCCTGAGCTTCTGCATGTGAGGATGCGTGCGTAGAAGCTTCTGGTCACTCGCAATGTCTGCTTCCTCATATCTTCCTCCTACACATTGTGTAGATTCTCAGTTTTCTCTGAGTTTCCCATTTGCCTCCCAGTACTGCTGTCGCTGACCCCACATTTTTCAATTTTATCATCAGAGAGAAGAGAGCCTGAGGGCCCAGCGCACTTCTCACCATGGATTGGCTGCTTCGTCAGGTGCACAAGTGCATGCATAGCCTTTCATCCAGCCAGCTGTGACCAAGGTGGAAAAGGTCTGGGGTTCAGAGGGGGCTGCGCATTCGGCAGCGCCATGGATCGGCTCTTTTCACAGGAAAGGGCTCTTGGTCGTATGAACATCATGACTGAGATATCTGGAGCTAAGAAGTTCACAGCTGGTGGAGGAATCCACACAGCATCGCTATTAACACTGACCCGTATCTTCTTTATGTATTTCTATCCAGCACCCTCTTCCCTTACTGCTCATTCTTTATGTAGTTTCTTCATTCTACCTGCAGCTTAGCCTATGCAGTGTGAGTGAACTGCCCCTCGCAGTGGCCCTCTGCTCTGTGTGTATGGCACCCCGTCACACCAAGCGGGGCGTCTGCATCCCTAGGCAGTGCTCAGCAGGCAGGGTTCTGCTCCCCAGGGGGTATCATTGCCAACATCTGCAAACACTTCATTGTCACAAACTGAGTCGGGGTGAGCCTCGCTGCACCTGGTGAGCCAGCGACCCACAGTGCATGAGGTGGATCCGTACCAGGGACCATGCAGCTGAACACTGATCCTGCCTGGCAAGGCCTCGTGGCAACATCTGACCTCTCTGCACAGCCTTATTGATAGCCATGAGAAGTGACAGAGTGTGCTTGGTAGGCAGAGAGGGACCCCATTTCTGAACCTGAATCAGCAAAAGAAGCTGCCATTTGGAAGTGGAACCACAATGTAGGACTCACAGCCATCCGCCATCTTTCTTTTTGTGTAAACAATGAGTCAGTATCACTACCATTAATATTTCACATAGCCACGTGATGCCTTTAATACAATACCTGCCCTTTAAGTCATCATGTCCTCAGTAGGACTTGTATATGATACTACATAATTTTTCTTGAGACTGGGGTATGGCTTGGAGAATGATTTCAATTTGTTTCCCAGACACACTGATATAAATCACCATTTCACCAACTCTGATCACCAGACCATTGTTGGTCTGCAATAAATGTTTCCCAGCCTGAAAACCTTTATGCAACAGAAAGTCCTTCTTTTAAAGCTATAAAGTGAAACAATGACCCTTGACAGGTAATGAACCCTATAACATTGCCTGCTGAGGTTCTGACTTTTACTGTACTAACCAATAAACCAAACAACTGAGTGAAGAACGTATATATCAAGTATGGCCTGTCTTACCATACTGTCTTCCAAAGTAGAATTCGAGGTGAAGGTTTATGAGTTGGCCCTTGAGAACGAGATCGCAGAGACAGGAGCCCAGGGTGTCAGAGTGGGGAGCAGATGGAGGGGAGCCCATCCCACACAGGCTTGCACCCGCAGGTGATTCTGGGACCTTGTACACTGCATCTCAGAGTCTCGGTCTGCTTAGGTAGAGGCAGCTGTTTGGCTGTTCGCTGCCAGCCCTCTTTGATCGGATTCCTTGGCAGTGTGTCTACTCCCAATTTAGGGTGTGAGTGTTTGTAGAGCTTTTCCTCTAGCTCTTGAGCCATACCTTCAGGGCTCCAAATTTCAGCCGTGAATGCTAGGTGTCCCAAGGACAGGAAGCACAGGAACCCAAATCAAGATCATGGTAGGTGCACTAGCAGGAAACTTGTGCAGAGCTTGTCACTGTAGAGGGATCACAGTGAAGATACCCCCAGTACTTGGAAAGGTGAGTATGCAGTGTGGGGACAAAATAGTCTAGCGAACCACGTAAATGTAGTCACAGACCCTTACATGTGTAATGTATATGAGGAGTACATGGATGTCTGAGGCAGTCCTGGATATCTACGCATTTACCATTACATACTCATGTAGGAATGTGTACATACATATGCATACACATGAGCATGCTACACACAGATGCATATACTTCTTAAGTATATGATTTAAATAGGTGCATGACCATGTTAAACATTCATAACATTTGATAATGGTAATGGAAACTGGGGCACTTCTCTCTCCTACAGCTCAGCAGCACATATGCAGTAAGGAGGCTGCTCTCCTGTGACTCCCCTCGGAGGGGATTAGTGTCTGGCACTGACAAGCGTGGCTGTCTTTCTTGTTGGAGGTACCTGACAAGGAGTGCTGTTCCAGGGCTTCTTCGCTTCTCTGTTTCTGTGGGTAAGATATTTAGAATTGACTTTTTAGCTGTTCAGACTTAGTACTTGGTTACTTCTGTTTAAATATTACCCACATAGTATGTGAGCTTTGTGATTTTGTGCAAGTTTTTGTTTCATTTTATTTATTTACTTATTTTTTTGTGGTACTAGAGGTTGAAATTAAGGCCTTTACATGGAACTATGTCCTCGGGCCTTTTTTGTCTTTTACTTTAAAATAGGGTCTTGCTAAGTCTCTAGTTGCCCAGGCTGAGCTGGAACTTGTGACTTTTCTGCCTCAGCCTCCCAGAATTATGGGATTTTAGGTAGGTGTGTGTGTGTTTGTGTGTGTGTGTTTGTGTTACCATGCCTGGTTCCGTGGAACTTATTTAATCTTTCTGTGCTTCAACTTCTTAGACACAAAAATAGAGACAATTATAGTATCTGCTTTATCTTAGTTACTTTTCTTTTTGCTGAGACAAAATATCCGACACCCAAAGTTAAAGGAGGAAAGGCTTACTGTAGCTCACAGGTTGAAGAGGCTTCAGTCCATAGCTAACCCATAGAGGATGGGTGGCTGGCAGTGGGGTGCCACACAGCAGGCTGGAGGCAGCGGAAGACAAGCAGCAGCAGCAATAAGTGACAAGCGATAAGCAGGGCCCCTCCTGTCCCTTGTACCTTATCCAGCCTACACACCCTTAGAGCAGGTAGCACTCACACCCAGCGTGGGGCACACCTAACCCCACCCAGAACTGTGCCAAGCCAACCTTGGCCTGATTGAGTAACCACGTCGCACACCCTCGTCTGAGCTGAATACTCTCCAGATCCAGCCGCCTCCAAAAGGCTCCACCCTTGACTACCTGAGGCTTGGGGGGGACACCTAGACAGACACCACAGAAGCCATTAAGGTCAACAAGGACAGTGTTTCAGGACAACGACCTCCTGGGTCCTGCTATCCCAATACTGTGGGCCAGATCATCTTTTAAACACCCTGACATCACATAGTTTGGGTTTGTTGTGTGCTGCTCTCGGCTCACTGTTGGAAAAAAGATCTACTTTGGAGACCAATTCAAGCTGAGCCCTACTCCCGTGCAGAAGGATCGAGTCCCACCCTAGTCTTGGAGGATGATGCTGGCTGAGGAAAGGGAGAGGGGAATGGAAAAGAGGATTTGATATGAGTGTAAGCAGCAGCTCTCACCTGAAATTCTCGCCTTTTCTCTGTGTGAGGGAAGAAATGTCACACTGATTGAGTACCTGGCATGTTCCAGGCAGTTGCAAACCTCTCTGGAAGAACATCTTTTCTGCTTTAAAAGAAAGATCTCTAGCCTTCATAAAAGCTTAGTAATCTTCAAACACCATAAAGATAATGAGGAACCAAGGAGGAATTGTAACCAGTGCTTCTCCAGCCTTCAGAACATCAGGGTGTGTGTGTGTGTGTGTGTGTGTGTGTGTGTGTGTGACAAGAGACACCAGCTTGTCAGGTACACAGTGGACCTCTGGGGCCGTGCCCATCGGTGTCAGCATAAGGACTCTACCATGGCACAGTGTCAGCTCCAGTTAAGCCCTGCCAGAGACAGGACCTGTTCTTGCTATTTCAGATTTGCCCGACAGCACAGATACAGAGCTGCTGCCAATTAGAAACACGAAGGGGGATTTTTTTCCCCAGCCTAAAGGTAAACAGCTCTTCTGCATAGTCATCTGAATGTTGGATTGGGAATCTCTTACTGAACTGAATAATCATCTGAAACAAGTTAACTACCTAAGGCAAAGGAGACAAAACGTCCTCCTGAGGAGCCCCTCTGTTTATCTTGTCAATTAGACTTTCAATTGTGCTGTTTCCCTCCTCTTAGCCTTCCTGACATTTAAAGGCTGATGACAGGCTGCATACTTCTGACTCATGACAACAGTAAAGGATATGAAGCACAGGACTGACCTTCCATTAACGGTGAGCGAGTGAGGGCCGGAGAATGGTGTGGACCAGGCAGTCCACTCTGTCTCAGTCCCTACTGCTTAGCATCAGCTTGTGTCCAAATGGTCCCCTCTTCCAGGGTCACTGGATGGGGCAGAGATCCTGCATCAGAAGCCTGGGTCTGCACTGCTCTGTCCCCTTGGGGAGACTGTAACTAATACTCATTTTCACCTTTCATTAAGAAGTAGAAATTTCCACACACATAAGTTCATCTTCTTACCCTATACCACCTGGTGATATTGCCTCTCTTAGTCTCTTTCCTGTTGCTGGTACACAAAACCTGACATCCAGGGCTTGAAGGAAGAGAGGTTTAATTTGGCTCACAGCTGAGTGGATCCAGTCCATGGTCAGCCAAGGGAAGGAGAGAATAATGTATATATTTAATGTATATGAAGAATATATACATTATAAGGGAAGGAAAAGCATGGTGAAGGAGTGTGGCAAAGGAAAGCTGCTAAACTCATGGCAGCCAGAAAGCAGAGGAAGAAAGGAGGGGCTGAGAAGGGAGATGGACCCGCCCAAGGCATGGCCCAGTGACCCACCTCGTCCAGCCAGGCTCCACCTCCTAACACACAGTCAGCCATGAGCTCATCAAAGGATGCATTCACTGAGGGGTAGAGGACCCTCACGATGCATCACCTTCCAACAACCCCACTCCTGAACATGCAAGACTTCTGCAGGGACACTCCAGATCTGAATTATAGCATTCTCCCTGTTTATTTTAGAGGAAAAGCTGTTTGGTTGAGCTTACAAGGAAGACCTGGAGTCTGTTATCTGTGCGCTAGTCAGATTTCCAACAGCCACAGCTCACTGGCTCTGACTTAAGGCCCGGCATTTCTGCCTTAAAAATAAAAAGCGATCAGCTGTGAAGACCGCACAGACGTGACTGTCCTGTGAACTCTGGTCTGCCATCAGCCACACAGATTTAACTCATCCTCTCCCACCATCTCCAGCTTCCATCGGGTTTTCTGGTCCAACCTCTCCTTGGCTTTTTCCTCCCATTGACCACCCTGCTGCCTTTATTCTGGGCCATTTCCCGGACCGAGCACAGCCTTCCTGGGCTGTCTTCCTCACCTCCACGCCCTCTTCCACCTGCAGAGGGGCTGCCTGGCTTTTTACACCGTGAGTCCTCTGCTGCGAGGATGCCCTTTGCTCTTGCGGGATCGGCCTTTGTACAGCCCTCATGCACCTTGTCTCGCCTCCTGAGATTCTGTCTGGAACCCTCTGTCACCTGGTCCCAGAAGGAACTTTGTCCCTGAAAGCTCATCTACTGCACGAGGACTTGGCTGTTTTACACGGAGCTGCTACTCACCTGATGCACAGGGGCACCGTGAGGAGCTCCCTTAATCAGGAAACAAGGGATGTAAACTCATGCTCTGGCAGCTAACCTGAACACTGACACAAGGCAGAGAAGTCCTAATCCATCTGTAGTAGGAAGAGTAGTTTCCACACTTGCACAGTTGGATTATAACAAAGCTGAAACCCTAGGGGCCAGATTTGTTTTGCAGTTCAGGTCGCTTTCCTGCAGCACAGTGAATCTCGGTTACAAGGCTTGTGGGGTCCACCACGAAGGGGAGGTTCCGTGAAGGACACTCACCTTCTCCTCATCAAGGCTCTGGTGCTGGCAGTGAGCCCTCAGTCCTCGAAGAATTCCCAGATGGCGCTGATTCCCGAACACCAAGCAACCCCGTTGTGACAGTGCCCACCTGGAGATAGATCAGACTGCACAGGCTGGGAGTCAGGCTTCAAGACTGCAGCCTCAGTTTCCAAAACCAGTCCCAACCCTCAGCTTGTTTTCCCTGCTTCTGACAGAGTAGGTGTAAACGAACTCCCCACATCCTTCTTGGCTCCCATTAATTTGCTGCAGAGGACCCAGCAACTAGAAACAGAACTCAGAGTAACCATGATGTTTACTGATTTATCATAAAACACACAGAAGAGGAGATGCACAGGGAGAGATTTGTGGGGAGGCCATGGAGTGTCTGGAAGCTCCGCGAAGCCTATCCTTGAGGGGTTTTATGGAAACTCGTAATGTAGGTATGATCAATTAAACCACAGGCTATTGGGGATCAGCTCAGCTTCTGGCCCTCTCCCCTCCCTGGAGGCTGAGGGAGAGGAAGTTAAAAGCTCCCCTCTGTGATCCTGCTTTGTGTTCCTGGTGATCAGCCCCCTTCCTGAAGCTACCTAGGAACTGCCCGCCGTGCCATCTGTGGTTGGGTCATTAGCATGCAACAGACACTTATCACTTGGAAGAGTCCATGGACTTGAAGAGCAGCATGCCAGGCAACAGAGTGAAGACAAAACATCTCTTACAGCATCACACCCACAAGTGCCCTGGGCATTGCAGTTTAAAATCTGTCACGCTGGGTGTGCTGAACTGCAGTGCTCCTGAATATTCTTGGTAAAGAAACTGTAGCCACCATTTTTCATCTTGAAGCCAAAGATGAAATCCCTAAAAGCCCAAATCTCCTCATTTGCTACCCTTAAAAATAAATTGGAATTTCCTTAAGGGACTTTGGGTCCTCAAAGACTCAGGGAAATTTCTGTATTCAACTATGATCTAGTCTTTTTACATTTTGGGACACAAACCTGAAGAGTATTTCATTTCACTGACATGCTAGAAATGTTTTATTTTTATCATGGTAGAAAATAACTGATATATTCAAATTATTATCACTGGAAGAAAACAACAAAAGGACTATTTGTAAACATATAGCCAACAGGTAATAAAAATCACAACGTGTACCAGTTGTCTAATAATGATAACTCTAAACCCTCCAGCATCAGGCATTTATTCCTTCACCAGTCCTGCGGGTCAGGAATTCAGGCACAGCTGATCTGGTCTCTGGCTTAGGTCTCTTAGGAGAAACCAGTCCAGCCGTCCGTCGGCCAGGCTGCTGTCTCCTGAAAGGCCTGAGTGTGGGTGAAAGAGCTCCCAGCCTCGCTGCAGGACTCGTGTACCTCGTGGCTGGCTTCTTCCAGGCCAAATGAGCCAAGGGAGTGTGGCTTCCATAGAGTCAGAGCCGTTTACGGCCTTATTGCAGAAATGACATCCCATCCTTTGTGCTGTGTTCTGTCTGTTAGCAATGGGCCAGTAAACCCAACCCATACCCAAGAGGAGAGGAACACACAGGGTGTGAATTCCAGAGAGCAGAAAGCACAGGGCCACTGGGGGGCTGTGCTCGTCCTTCCTGGTAGCTCTAACAGATTGCCATTGGGTGGCAGTTTAAACAGCGAACAGCAGTGTGATTCCTTCTAGTTGTGGAGCTGCAGAGTCCAAAGGTGAGGCCCAGCAGATTCAAGGGGTGGTGAGGGCTCATCGCGTGGTTGGTCTTGCTGGGTCCTAACATGGAAGAGGGGTGAGGGCTCTCCCTGGGGTCTTTCTTGTGAGTGTACTGACCTTGTGCACCCTACCTTCGTGACTAGGTCACCTCTGAAAGACCCTGGCTCCTAGTATCACACAGGAGGCTGAGTTTCAACGTAGTATTGGAGTAGGAGGGGATGCCAAATTCAGCCCATTCCAGAGGCTGCCTGGCATGAGAGAAATTATAATGTGTCCTAGGACTTGTCACAGCTGACCCGTTCATTCTAGGGCAGCAGGGCTAGGGAGCATTTGCCAGCACCAGAAGGGGAATGCTACACGGGGAGGCAGACAGAGAAACACTGTCTTCGGGCATGAGTAGCAGACATCTCAAGATGACCACAGGAAGGAGCTGGGGAATGAACACCCTGATCTTTCTGCTCCCTCCCTGCATCACTGGCCGGGCCTTTCAACTGGAAGAACCTGATCATAGCCAGTGCTTGGAGGGGGCAGCTTGGCAGCTGAGCTCACCAGAGCCCTGTCCCTGCCCATAGCATCTCAGGCCCCTATCTGCTGTCTCCTTCAGGGCAGGTGGCGTCATTACACAACTGCACAAGATCCCCAGAGATAGGAGGGAGGTGAGATTTTTTCATGGCTAGGCTCATCTGTCTTGGCACCACTTCAGCTGCACGGCATCTGTCGAAAGAGCCAGAGCTGGCCCAGCTGAAGGAGAAGTTGACAGGTTCTGCAACCGATGGGCAGAGCTGAAGAGTCTGTGACATCTTGAGTCCGTGTCAACTCTCCACCATAAACTAGACTGCTTTCTCCACCTTTTAAAATGGGCAGGGGCCGGGGATTTAGCTCAGCGGTTCTGCTGCCTGCCTTACAAGCGTAAGGTCCCGAGTTCAATTCCCGGTAACCCCTCCCCCAAATGAGTAGCACTTTATTTAGGGCTGGGGATTTAGCTCAGTGGTTCCACCTCCTGTCTCACAAATGCAAGGACCCGAGTTTGATCCCCAGTACCAAAAAAAAAAAATTACATGGGATAAAATGCGCAGTGTCATGGCAATGCCTATAGTTACAAGATGAAGGAAATAATGAGGACAAAACTGAGGGTTATTTTAACCACAGAAGCATCCACTTAATGCAGAAAATTTAAATATCAATTGGGCTGCTAAATCCTTCACTAATCTCTAGTGTAATTTATATGTCCCTTGCTTCATCAACCCAGGTTTAAATGACATATGTATTCTTAACCTAAATACACTCTTTAAAAATATTTTTAATTGCATTGATTTTGGAGTGCCAGGGATCAAACCCAAGGCCTCATACATGCTGAGCACAGACTCTACCCCTGAGCTACCACCTGGCCCAATATGGTGCTCTGAATCCCCTCCCATCCTCTGCCTTGGGATACCTTAAAAACTGTCCCTCCCAGCTAACTTGGGGGTCTCAGGCACACCTGCTCTGGCTGTCCCAGGAGCCGGTGGTGGCTTTCCAGGAGAGTCCACCAGGGGCTGTGCTGCCTCTGCTGTCTGCCTAGAGCCCCTTCACCCAGATCCACACCCAGCCACATCTTATGCCCAGCAGGAAGCACACACGTGGCTGACTTTCCTACCCCCAGTGCTGTGAAGAATCACCCTTCTGTGCAGCTGAGAAGGACAAGGCCTCCTCTTTACCTGTCTTAGTTACTTTTCTCTTGCTGCTGAGAAGAAATATTCAACACTCAAAATTAAGACCTTCTGGGGTCTCCACTGCACCTTCAGCTTCACACAGCTTCACACACTGCCTCTAAGGGGCACACTGCCTGGCCTCCCAGGCCTTCTTCTGGAATCTGGGTGAAGCCTTCCTCACCCCACAACCGTTGCATTCTGCATGTGCCTAAAATCAGCACCACGTGGATGATGCCAAGGTCTGCAGCCAGCTGGAGCAGTAGCCAGGCTTCCTTCTCTCTTGGCTGTACGGGTCCAGTGCCTATGAACCAAATCCTGGGGAAAAATTGCCTAGGCCACCACTGCTATTCTAGATCATGGTGGTCTGGGGCTCTCTTCTCAAGGGAAACTCACATTTGCAACTTTGAGGCTGTTGCTTCTTGTGATGCCCTAGGAGCATCTTTTCTATCCTCCTGTTCCTTCTCAGCAATCAAGTTCTCTGCTCTGTCTTTGCAGGCCACAACTTTACTGGAGCTTCTTTTCTGGCCAAGCTCAAAATGTTCTGAATCATTCCTCTGGGCTCTCTGCTCTTGATTCTCAACATAAACCTGGCTGAAAGTCCCCAATAGGAGCCATGCCACTGCCTCAACTGCCTTGAAATTTCTTCTGCCAGATTAATTAGGCCATTGGCCTTAATCTCAGTCTCAGGCAAAGTCTCTGGACACGAGCAAAACGCAGACAACTTTCTGCCAAGCCATAAGACACATGGTCTGGAGTCCAGCAGCGAGTGCAGTCCTTCTTCCCAGCAGAAACCTCCTGAGCCTGGTCTTTACCGGCTCTCTGGTCTTCTGAACTCTGACCAGAATTTCCCAGACAGAACAGCCTTAGGCGCTCCAGCTCTACTACTTCAGTTGGCAGCTCCCAGCCCTTCCTAACTCTTCTCCTTCCCACCAGCCAGCTCCAAAGGTTCTTGAGCTACATGACTAGGTAATGTCACAGCAATGACCCCACTTCTCTGGTACCAATTTCTATCTAGTTACTTTTCTCCTTGCTGAGACAAAGTACCCGACACCCAAAGTTAAAGGGAAAAGGGTTTATTTAACTCACAGTTTATAGAGATTTCAGCCCATAATCGGATGGCTCCAAGGGAGAGAGGCACATGGCAGAGGGGTGTCACAGAGGAGAAACAGTTCATGGCACCCACACGGTAGCAAAAGCAGCAAGGGAACCTTGACAGCATCTTCCTGCTCTGTTTATCCAGACTACCGGGATTAGGGCGGTGCCAAACTACTCAGTGGACTGATTTAGCAGTCACACGCCCGTAATCCCAGCATCACACACTCTAGATCCAGCCACCTCTGGGAAGCCCCCTATGACCGCATGAGGCTTAGAGGGGTGGACATCTAGACACAGCCACAGCATTGCCTTTATTCTCACATGGGACTGGTCCCACTGTGAGGCAGCCTGGGTCTCTAAAGTTACTGTCCTCGTCAGTCTCTTTGGAGCCAGGTAAGCTGGGTCCCTAATGCAGCCAGAGGTGGGCAGTGGGGCAGCATCAACACCCGCGGAGCTGTGTTCTGGAGGCCCACACCCAGCTTTTCATGAACTTTTGTTTTAAATGAGCCTCATGAACTGGACTTGATGGTGCAATTTAGTGACTTAGAAAAATTGTCTCAAAAAGTGACGGTGGGTGCTGAGGATCTAGCTCAGTTGAAGGCTCGGGCTCAATTCCCCGAACTACAAAAGGGAGGTCCTCGCTACAGCTTGCACTGCAAGCACCTTATCTTTTGCTTGCAGAAATTTTCAGCAGGCACCGATGATGCTGATCAATGTTTTTTCAGTACTAGGGATTGAGCGCAGGTCTTTGCACTGAGCTACATCCACAGCCTTTCTTGTTTCTTGTTTTATTTTGGACAGGACCTGGCTAAGTCGCTGAGCTGCCCAGGCTGGGCTCAAACTTGTGAATCTTCCTGCCTCAGCCTCCCAGAGAGCTGGGGTTGCAGGCATGCGCCCTTCCCTGTTTCAATGCTGCTTCTAGAAGCAAAACAACTAGATTAATTTTTTCTCATTATAGAAGCTGGCATTTCCAGACAAGAATGCTGAGAATAAAGACAAAATGTTAAGATTTTGATAAATGTCTTCCCATATTTTTCTATGTGCATAAATTAAAATGACCCAGAAGCCCCAATACTGGGCATATATCAAGGGCAGTGAAATCAGCATATTGAAGAGGTATTGCCTACAATGCTTATTGCAGAGCTATTTACAGTTGTGAAGATTCAGAGCCACCCTAAGTGTCAATCAGTGGATGAAATACATTTTTAAAACATGGTACCTATGCAAAATGCAACACTATTCAGCCACACACAGGTGCAGGAAGAAGGAACACTGCATGGTCTCATTCTGTGTGAAGCAAAAAAGCTGACTGCATAGAAGGAGAACAGAATCGTGCTTACCTGGGACTGGAGAGTAATGCTAGGCAAGAAATGCTCATAAATACATTACAAAATATACTTTTTCTTAAAATCAATCCAGAGCATGTGCAGATGCATTTGTGGGTCAAAAATTTGTACACTGTTGGAATTTTTGGTATATGCACAAGTTTCTCCTTAGCAGGAGCTTCAAACTTTCCTGGGCACCAGC